CAAAAATAGCAAGGATATTTTAACTCTGATAATTGTTATGCAATAATAATAATAATAATAAAAATAAGGATAACAGGATCTTAAAGGAAGTTAGACATGAAGTCAGGTGAAAAAGGAGAAAAATTTGTGCTTAAGTCGGTTGGTCGGATGGTCAGGTGGGTTGGTTAGCGGTCGGATAGGCAGGTCGGAAGGTCATCGGTCGGATGATCAGGTCGGTTGGTTAGCGGTGGGATAGGCAGGTCGGAAGGTTCTTGGTCGGTTGGTCCTCGATCGGATGGTTAGCGGTTGGACAGACAGGTCTCATGGTCTGCGGTTGGATAAAGTAGGTCGGCTGGTCTGCGATCGGATAGGCAAGTCAGCTGGTCCGCAGGCGGATAGACTGAGATAAGAAGGGTGACCCTGCATCTCTTTATGAGTTTTGAAATGTCAAAAATAGCAGGGATATTTCAACTTTGATAATTGTTACGCACAAAAAATAATAATAATAATAAAAATAACGATAGCAGGATCTTAAAGGAAATTAGACACGAAGTCGGGTGGAAAAGGAGAAAAATTTGCGCTCAGGTCGGTTGGTCAGGTCGGTTGGTCGGATGGTCAGGTAGGTTGGTTAGCGGTCGGATAGGCAGGTTGGAAGGTTCTCGGTCGGTTGGTCTGGTCGGTTGGTCCTCGGTCAGATGATCAGGTCGGTTGGTTAGCGGTCGGATAGGCAAGTCGGAAGGTCCTTGGTCGGTTGATCTGGTCGGTTGGTCCTCGGTCGGATGGTTAGCGTTCGGACAGACAGGTCTGATGGTCAGAAGGTCGGACAGACATTTCTGATGGTCTGCGGTCGGATAAAGTAGGTCGGTTGGACTGCGGTCGCATAGGCAAGTCAGCTGGTCCGCAGGTGGATAGACATGTCGCTTGGTGGGTGCGGCCAAGGAGTCTTTTGGTCTACCGATTGGTCTCTGGATTGGTCGGTTGGGCTATTTGAGTTCTGAAACTGGTGGAGGCATTTGGCGAGGCGATTGATGTAACCGACCAGACGACGTTCCAAAACGTTTCGTCTTGGGCGGTTGAAGGCAGTTGCTGACGACGGTTCCAAAACGTCTTTTCAAGCCAGTACAAAGGTAGGCTAAGGGCTAAATTGTCATTTTTAAAAATGAGGGGCAAGATAGACTTTTCAGGTGGCAGATCCGTACAAACTCGTATTTATAAGATATAAAATATATATGCATATATATTTTTGAAATTATTAATTAAAAGACAACTTAGCTATTATATTTGTCATATAAAAATAGTATAATTGAACGGTATGTAAGTGTGAATATAGACGGCATTTATCTTGAATATAAATAAGAAGTGGAGTGGAGTGGAGTGGAGTTGGAGAAAAACTGTATGGGCGGTTGGCGCGCGTGCACGCACCTTACCTTTACAAACTCCCACGCCTAAGCTCATTAACACTCACGTCATTATTTATTTATTTATTTATTTCAATATTAGATAGTATTGTACTATTGTAGATGTAGCTGTATGCATCGAATTAGAGTTGGTGTGTAAAGTGGAAGTAAGGACGTGGCGTGGTGGTATTGGTGTATATGTTAGTGTTTCTTACAATTTTAAAATTTATTAAGTAATGTTGAATTTTTTTAATATTATTATACGCAGCGGCTACAGTGCTGAATAACAAATTATGTGCTATTAGGTATCACATAATATTACTACAAATACCACACTGTGTATATTAATATAATATAAATACAACACATGAACAAAATACAAATATTATAGTCTCAACAATACACAATATTAATACAAACAACATACAATATTATTATAGACAACATATTGTATATGTTAATATAATACAAATACAACACATAAATTAACAACACATACTCTAGTATCATACAACACATACAACAGTTGATTTTTGCTCATGATATATGACACGGCTCCGAATCACGCGAACCCGAACTTAGACAGACCGATTGCAACCCGAACCCGATCGAAGCTACTTGTTTGCTTGGAGGTTGTGATCCTTTGATCTTAATTAAAATGTGTGGTTTATATTAGCTTGCCACTTAAAATGTGTGGCTTAGATTAATTTGTCATTTAGTATATATAGCCTTGTTTATTTTTTAAATAGACACAACTTAAATGAGAACATTTTGAGAGAGGGTTTACCTAGCTTTGGAGAGATTCTTTAGAGTTGGAGTGATTCCATCTGCCAAGAGGGCATCCGATTGTTGAGCTTCGGATGCAATTGCATGAGAGACGGAATATGCATCGGCAGCCTCGGACAGTCCGTGGATTCTCGAAAGTGCTTGCTCGAGAAGAGTGATTGCTTTTGGAATTCAACTTATCCTATTTCTATTTCGATTTTCAATTTAGCATTTGTAAATTCCTAAATACATATTAGATACTTGTCTTCGAATTTGATTCATGAAGATGATTCTAATCCATGTCAATATACTTATATACAACATACTTATTATTATTAAAAAATAATATATATTTATTATATACAATATATATTGTGTATAATACTAATATGTGTTATTTATATATAACGCATACTGATCTGAGAAATCAGCACTGCACTCCATTATTATATTATAGTTTATATAATATCCATCAGTTAAAGTTGAGGGCAACTGGAGCTAGGAAGACTACGGTGGATGGAAAAATTGCTATACTTCTACATACATACACGTATATAAACTATATATATGTCGTACATGTGGGGTGCATGGGTGGGGTGGGATTATTTAACGTATTAATGCATAGTCTAGTGACTAGTATTAAGTTCAGTTTGGGGTTTACTCAATATATGTACTTTCAAATAATGGCTACGAATTTCTATATTATAAAAAATAAAAATAAAATAAAATACTCTTACGATTTATCATTGACATGCATAATTATAAATTACTTTAATATTATTTTATAAAACTAATTAAATGAATATTGATTATATTTATTAATATAAAATAATTCTTCCGTTAATTATGAATTACTTTAATATTACTTTATAAAACTAATTAAATTGATATTAATTATATTTATTAATATAAAATACTTCTTTCGTTCCAGATGTTTCTTTTACTATAGACAAAAAAAAGTTTAGAAAAAATATAATTAGTAAATAATTAAGAATGTATTAGTAAAAATAATTATTATTTAATAAAAATAATTTTAAATTAAAATTAAGATAACTAATTAGTATAATTAAAAATTTTAAAATGATATTAGTGTATAATATTTTTCCAAAAAAAGAAAAGTGACATAGTAAATAGGACAAAAAATGAAAAGGTGGACAGAGTAAGTAAGTGGGACGAAGGAAGTAAATAATAGTTAAATGTACTCATTAGGAAAAGTTTGGATGTCTTTTTTAAGTTTATGAGAGTTTTGAATATAGTTAAATGTTGAATAAATTAAAATTAGGTATTTGATGTAATGTAAATATATGTTGGGTGTGATATTTTATATAGGACAAGTTTTTTTATGTGATGTTCTTCATCCATCCACTTTATAATAATATTTTTATTTTTTAAACGGAATTTAATAAATATTGTATTTTTAATGATACTTAATGATAATTTTGTATATAGAAACTATTTTTCCTCTGTGATGTACAAAGTTATTGTGATGATATTAATATAAATAAGTATAAGAGTGCAGATCATGTATTGACGGAATCAAATAAGTATGATAAAAATATATGTTGGATTGCTATATGTGATACCCGATCAAATCAATACTATGTTGATTTGATTGAATCAACATCAGATTCGCAATCTAACTATAAATATGATCGTATTTGTAATGTGTAATGGAATTCATATTTACTAAAAAAAATAAAATAAATACCATTTGTTGGAACAATGAAAGAAAAAAAGAAAATATATACTTATTAAACGGACGGGTATATGGTTGTAGAGCTTTCGCTAGAGTCTCACCGTTGATGTATAAATTCTCCCATTTTCAAAATAATAATAATAATAATATATTAAATATTTATTTTTTATTTTTTATTTTATGTTACATTAAAATATGCCATAAAATCTTTAGGATTTGTTTGGTTTTAATTTGAGTTTTGCTTTAAATAATATTTTGATTTAATATTTTATGAGAAAAATAATACTTCCTCCGTCCATTTACAAGGTTTACATTTACTTTTGGCGCGGTGTTTAAGAAATAATAGTATTTTAACTATAGTGAATAGTTAAAAGTAGTGCAATGACATTTTTTGCCTTACTTTTTTGTGTAAAAGTAATGATGTGATGTAAAGTAAAGGTATTTGTGGTAAAAAGTAGGGTATTTAATGAAATGTTAACTTTGTAATTAGACGTCCCAAAATATAAATGTGTAAATATTGTAAGTGGACGGAGGAAGTAGTATATAATATATTTTATCGAGTAACTGTGTTAGCTAAATAATGTTGAAATGAATTGAAATCATAATCAAACAGACAGCTAAATAATGTTGGAATGAATTGAAATCATGAAGGAACAGACCTTTCAATTCAAAATTTTAATGCTACCAATCGTAGACCAAACTCTCGACCTTACATCCAAATTAAACATACAAGTAATATAAGAACTTGCACTATGATAATGATTTTGTTCTTTTATACCCTTTTTATTGTCTCTCTCTCTCTCTCTCTCTCTCTCTCTCTCTATATATATATATATATATTTATGAAATGACTGTTGAATATATAATATTTTATATAAAATTTTTGATAAATTTTTAAAAAGAGTCACACGCTCCAAAACAACAAAAAAAGTCTATTAATTAATCAATTAATTTTTTAAATAAAAGAAACTCATACTAGCCCAAGGAAAACAAAACTATGGATTAGCCAAAGATTCACAAATACAATATATATATATATATATATATAGAATTCACCACCTAACGTCACACACAACATATATTACAAATTGCATATATATATATTAACTACAAAAATCCAAATACATATTAATCATCTATATATATATATTGTAAGTGGAGAAATGACTAATATATGTATATATATATGTATACGTATATATCATTCTGATATGGGCTATAGCTACGGGCAGGTATGATCAAGTAGCTGACGATCGGCGCCGGCGCCGGCGCCGGCGAGGCGCGGGTCGCCGCCGATCAGGCAAAAGAGGGGTGGCACAGTGAGCGTGGCGACATCCCCATAGGCATTCCAACAGAAGGGGTCTAAAATCCGCTGCCCCTCCGCCGGCAGCAGCTCGACGTCGCTGACGGTGAGGTTGGTGCAGGGCACGGCGTCGCTGCACGCCAGGTGCACCGGCGGGCTCCGGACATCGTAGGTGCCTTTGATCCCCTCGTAGGAGACGCCGGTCACGCTGACCGCCGCCGTCTGGTTGGGGCAGGCGGCGCGGCCGGCGCCGGAGCAGTAGTACTGGTCGATTATTATGGGGTTGCGCACGGTGTCCATGAGGATGTTGCGGAAGGTGACCGCCGACACCGCCCCGTAGCCGCCCTGCCATGTCTTGATCCGCACCCCGTTGTCGGAATGCTTGATCACCGACTCCGACACCGTTATGTTCCACACGCACGCCGCCGTGTTCTTCATGCCCAGGCTTCCGATGCTGATCAATATATATATATATATATATATGTATACGTATCGTCATCCTCCGCACGTGACAATGTACATACATACAATACAAGACATGTAATATATATCGCGTGTGTGTATATATATGTATGGGTAAAGTGCATTCTTTTTTTGTCCCATTTTAAAATATCTATTTTTATTTTAATAAATGTAATTATATATTAATATCAAATTATTTTAAATTTTTATTTAAATTATAAATATACTATTACACATATATTTACTTTTTATACATACTCAAAAGATAAAAATGTCAAAACCTCTTATCCATTTTCAGTGACTAATAAAACACTATTATTGTTTAATCGCTTTTTAAATCTCAAAGGGTCCCTATAGACAGGACGGAGGGAGTAGTATTTTATTAAAATACAAACCATACTTCATATTAAAGCTCATAAAACTTGATACGAAATATTCCCTACGTTCAGTAAATTTAGAACATTTGATTTTGGCACAAAAATTAAAAAAAATAAAAATTTTATTGAAAAATGATAAAAGTAAAAAAGTTGTTGAGAGTATTTTGAAAATTTAATTAGAAATTAGAGGGAAAAAAAACAAAAGAGAGAATGTAATAAAAGTAGTGACATTTGGTGTAAATAAGTGTTAAATGAAGGATAATAGTTGAACGTTGATTTGTTAACTTTACCAAAATGAGTAATTGAGTAAATTTAGGAGACATTGAAAAGGAAAGTAAAAGTAAATTTGACGGAACGAAGAAGTAATTAGATTTGATCAAGGATTTTGAACTAGTTATCTATAAAAGTTAACACGAATCCAACTCAACAATAAACATATATATGATTAGGATTGAGAGCCTTAATTTGAACTCAACACAACAACTCAATTATTATATATTAATATTAATAATTTAATTTGTTATATGTGTAAAATAATATTCTAACTCAATTATATATACGAATCAATACGAATCTGATACGGTAATAACATATCGGGTTAGAATCGGTGATTTCACCAATCAATTTATTGCTAGCTCTACTTTATAGTATTTTATTTATTGTATAAAATTTTCTTATGTTAGTACAAAGTCCAAATAAAATAATCTTTTTGTTTAAAGATCGTGCATTTATTATACTCCATTCGTCCCAAAAAGAAGTATTCATTTGTTTTTTGCAAATAGTTTTAGAAATATTAGTATTATATTAGGATACAGTAGAAATAAAGTAGAAATGACTAAAATAATTTTGTTCATATGTATGATATAAATGACTAAAATAACTTTGTTATGGACGGACTAAAATAAAAAAATAGATATTTTGTTATGGGATGAAACGAGTATATAGGTTCATAAAAAGAAATAAAATAAATCGTGTTATAAACGACTATTTTTCTCAATTAATCTGGTCAAATAAATTAAGGAGCATTTTGGGCATCTGTATAATAATATTTTATTATTAGTTATTGTTACTTTTGGGCGAAAAAATAATAAAAATGTATGATATGCAGATCTCATACTAACAGTGTGGTGTTAATCAATAAATAAAAAATAAAATATTGTTTATATTTTAAATAAAAATACAATGGTATATAATTGTTTAACCTATCTATCCTAATTCTTAAATCACACACGCTTATATATCCACGCCCACCATAGCTTTAGAGAGTGGACTAATTTTGTTTACTTATTATGGTGGGAGGGGACCAAATGTTTTATTATTATAATAATAATAATAATAATTATTACTATCACAACGTAAATTGTTTTATTTAGTCCCGACCTTCTTTTTATCATTTTAGAATTTTAAGTGAATCATGTCTGAAAATAGTCCCGTAATAAAAGATTTTCGCTAAAATGGTCCTTCAGTGTCGGACTCGCAACGCTAGCGGGCGTTGTTGACGTGGCGCTGACGTGGCAGACATGTCATCGTCGTAGATGCCACATCGGAGGACTATTTTAGCTAAAAAAAAATTTACTTGCAGGACTATTTTGAAACAAAATCCACTTAAATGTCCTAAAAATGATAAAAATGGTTATATACGGTACTAAAAAAGTAATTTACCAAGACATTTTGTAAAATAAAAATTAAAAAAAAAAATTCCACGTGTTGCTGACGGGGCATTTACGTGGCGATGACATGTAAGCCGCATCAGCACCACGTCAATAACGGCGGGCCAGCATAGCGAGTCCGGTACCAGAGGACTATTTTAGCGAAAAATTTTTACTCACGAGACTATTTTTAGACATAGTCCACTTAAAGTTCTAAAATGATAAAATGGTTAAATACGATACTTAAAAAAAATAGTTTAAACTTATTATTATTATTATTATTATTGAATTTGTTTGTAACGACTTACGTGCACCGAATTATATATGGAGGTTGTTGTGGGTGCATGCTAAATAAGGTTGGAAGTTGCTACTCTTTTCAAGATTAAAAAAATCTTACAACCCTAGAAATTATTATTTTATTACAAATAAATAATATATATATATATATATATATAACCACCTTATTCCATGACTAGGACCACAAGTGATGTTCTTTATATAGATATTGTAAGAACCAGCTCCAATGGACACACAATCATCCCCTGCATGAAACCCTTAACAGTCATTAACACTGTCAAAATATACATTTCCTTCTTCCAGTAACATATAACTATTTTTCTTTTAAGTCGGTTCCACATAAAATGATTCATTTATATTTTTGATAAGTTTATCAATTTTAAATACATTTAGTAAATATAAATAAATTAAATTTCTAATTTCTTACACTTATAATTTACTTAAAACTCTTTTATTTCTATGTTTATTCGATAAAAAAATATTTTTATCAATTTTTAAAACTCTTCATCTTTTTATAAAATTAATTTATGGTAATGATAAATAAATAAATAAATTTGTTATTTATTTGTATTATGTAAATTTTATTATTTACCAATGATATTCATATTATATATTTTATTGAGATATAAATAATAAAAATATTAAAATAAATAATATCATAACTTATTATTAATAATTCATCGATCTAACTCTCTGACAAACAGAGTATTATTAACTAATGAGAATATATATTTAATCTATAAGATAATTAATTAATTAATTGATATGGAAATTAGTTGGTGTTGTTTTAGCGTACCATTAGAAATGAGGGAGTTGTAAATGGTGACGTGGTTGGTGTTCTCAAGGTGGATTCCGTCGGTGTTGGGGCTGCCGGCGGGGGACTTTATAAAGATGGACTCGATCTGCACGTGCTCGCACCTGTCGAACCGCACGTGGAACTGTGGGCTGTTCTTCATCTTCACCCCTTCCATTCTCAAATTCGAGCACCAGAAAAACCTAATTGCCTGCACCCATTTATTCTAATTTACTTACTGATTACTAACATTCAATCAATTGCTGATTAGTTCTTACAACGGGGCTGTCACAAGGCCCTGGTAAAGTTGTCCCGTTGATTCCCTGCAGTACGTACGTACGTTTCATCATTCAGACAGAGATAGAGATAGAGATAGAGATAGAATTGTATGTATATGTATGTATGTATGTATGTATTGTAATGGCACTGACTCTGTGGGGTTTGCAGGGAAGCTCCCACCATTTAGCTCCTCGTCCATCAATGACGCCTCCTCCTTGCATCGACATTCCATTGATTCTATAGAACACCAACCACTGCCTCTTGCTGTAGCTCCTCGGCCATGATTCGGGCCCGTCCGGCGCCATTATCGTCCCTTCGACCTAATTCATTCAAAATTACTTCTTCATCGATCAATCGATCCATACATACATATTAATTAATTGAATAAGGTACCTGAAAGACCAGTGCATTGGTTTTACAGGGTCCAGTGAGGATGACGGATTGGATGAGAAAAGTACGATGGGGAGGTAGAAGAAGGAGGGAAGGGAGTTGAGATTGGCATGCTGCATCCCACGCCATTTTAAATGCTTCTGTATCATCGGAAATTCCATCCCCCGCCGCGCCATACGACATTACGTTGAAAACGATTTGTGCCGGTGAAGGTTCCGGCGCCGGCGCCGGCGCCGAGATTGGGGAATAGTCATCGTCTTCTAGAAGGCTCCGGGATTGAGTGAAAAGACCCAAAAAGCACAGAGGGATCAGGAAACAAAGAGCTGACAAACAACTAATTAGCATGATCGATATATGGAGTAATTAATGATCGATGAGGTTGGTACGCTAGTAGTAGTAGTAGTATATATATATATATGTATCTATATATATATATATATATAGAGAGAGAGAGAGAGAGAGAGAGAGAGAGAGATTGGACAATATGGGAAGTGGATGGTGAGCAAGTTGGGCATGCACTTAGGCGTGCTGTGATCAAGTACTATGTGAAAGAGGGGATGGATATATAATTGCACTTAGCTTAGCCTAGCCTACCTTAGATTAGTAGGTAGGGAGGGTTATCTACGTAATTAGGAATGTCCATAGTATCATCTGTCCCAAAAATAAACTCAATCTTTCTATCCACACACACATAATATATATATACACATGCGTGTATATACACACGCTATGTGTGTAGAAATAGGAGAATAGAGAATGGTAATAGGACAGAGGATTGTAAGAATAAGTAGTACAACTAGTAATTAGGATAGAGTTAAAGATGAAGTTGGAGTTGAGTTGTACAAATAGATAGATGGAATGATAAAGATTTGGACCACGTTTTGGGAATGGGAATGGGAGTTGAAGCCCACTTAATCTAGTTCGATTATAATGATATATTTTTAAGCGCGATCAAATAAGATATTTTCACTAGTTTTTGCTTATGCTCAAAGAAATGAATGTACAATATTTTCATAGTTTCAACTCGATTAGAATCATATAGTTTTAGGCGCGATCAAATCAGATATTTTCACTAGTTTTTAGTTATGCTCAAAGAAATGAATAGTTTCAACTTCGGTTTCAGATCAAATTTATACTTAACACTTAATATTGAATGTCAATTATTTTGGAAATTCGAATTTCCAAAATAAAGGCAAGAAATTAGTTGATTATATAATTAGGGTTTTGTAGAGTTAAGGTGGTCTCAAGTAGGTGGGGCGGCGGCTTGCACTGCACCGACCATTCTTTGTATGTATATCTATATATATAACATTATGAGAAATTAGATAAAATATAAAATAATAAATAGTGGAATTAAGTGGGCTAATATTTTAAATGGTGAAATTTTGAGCAACGGAAAGTGGGGCGGGGGAAGGGAATATCCACCTAACCCTACCCAAAACCATTTTTTTATCAATTAATTTCTGAGCATGCAAATTATAAATAAAAAACCAGTGTCACATAGACATTACAATATTTTGTAAATACAATTTAATTTTTATAATGTCAATATAAATATTATATATATATATATATATATATATAAACACCAAACGATATGTAACCCTTTTTCAATTTAACTCAATTATATTACATAAAGTCCGGCACTCAATTATAATTAAGTCGATTTCCTCAGCGGAAACAAACATATTATTAATTAGGTTAAACTCAATCAGCATCCACTTGTAGTTTGATTATAAAGTTCCGTTCCCCTATATTTTTAAATATATATATATATATATGAAAATAATTACCTTAAAGGTGTGTTTGTTTGGGGAAGTGGATTAGATTTCCACTATTCATCCCATTTTTTCTCCCCAAAAATATCAAATTAAACAACTATTTTTTATTTTTTATATTATACTAAAAAATCAATTTTACATTCAAAACATCACATCAACACATATTTATATCACATCATACAACTATTCAAATTCAAAATTTTTACTATTCTAATCCCAACTCAAAATCCAAACCCCCAAACAAACACACCCTTAATTAAAACTAATTTAAAACTAATTACGTATAATGCTTTTTTTTTTTCACAAATGATTAACAAGCACTCTCAGTATCTAATAAAATAATTAATTAAAATTTTTAGACATAAAAATTAAAAAAATAATATGGTAATACTCCCACCGTCAATTTATAATTGTCTAAAGTATATCTGCATGGTTTTTTTTAGATAATTGTCTTTTTTTTTTTTAGTATAAATTGACAAATTTATCCTTTATATAAGGTAGAGATTAAAAGTGATAAATAAATAAAAGATAAAAAAGTAAAATTTGTGCTTTAAAAAAAAAGGACAATAATTTTTCGAAGTCCCAAATAAAAAAATATGACATTAGTTTGTGGACGGATGGAGTATTATTTATGTATTATTAGTAAGGGTAGAATTTGAATTTTACAAAATTAATAATGTAATTTTTAGATTAAAATAAAATATGTAAGAAATGTGTAGGATCAATCAATGTTAGTATGTAAACGGTAATTTGACTTTTTAGTCTCTCAACTTTTTTTTTTTTATTTTAGTCTCGTAATTACCGGAGTCTATCCCAAACTAGTTTCGAAAGTGAAATTTTTTTTATTTTTACTCCTCCGGCGCCGGAAATGTTTACGTAGCACTCATGTAGCTCGCCAACGGATATGTGATTTTTTTTTTAATTTTTTTTTAAAAAATCTTTACTTATTTTGTCTTTTTTTTAAAAATTAAAAATTTTCAAAAAAAATTGAAAATTAAAAAAAATAATAATAATAATAACATAAAACCCTCGTGTGGTTTCACAAAGTTGTTGAAAACACCCCGTAGTTCTAAAATTACAAAAAATCTACTCGTGATTTTCAAAATATTGCACACTCGCCCTTCTCTTCTAATTCTACTAACAGACATTAAATTTTATCATAATAAACCATTATACCTTTATTTATATTTTTTCTAATTTATTTCTCTCTCCTACTTTCTTTCTTCCCTCTTCTCCCACACACCCACTTCCATCTTCCTTCTTCCTTTCTCTTTTTATTTTTCTTTAATTTTTTTTTCAAGAAGATCAGTAAAAAATCGTCGGCGGAAGTATTCACTGAGATTTTCGGTTGTTTGTTCGTCCAAGGAAGGAAGCTGTTGAGAACCGCCACCGTTGCCGGTCGTCGGAACGGGCTGGAGTTGTTTGTCAATCAATCAATTTGTGGAAAACAGATTCATTCGCGTCTAATTTCATAACACAAGTTTTCTTTCTTTTTTGGGTTCTAATTGTTTGAATTTCTTCTTCTTCTCCAATTTTTTTTTTTCACACCGCGGCAGTCACACCAAATTCTTTCTCTTATTCTTTTTTCCTAATTTTCTTTCTCAATTCTTCTTCACCCGCAGCCGACCCGCAGCCGCAACCGCACGCACCAGGTTTTTTTTTTTTTTTTTCTTTTTTTTCCCTAATTTTTTCCTTTCTTCTTCCTCCCAATTTTTTTTCCCTTCTTCTGCTTCTTCTTCCTCAGTTCTTCTTTAGGCACCAAATTCTTCTCCAATTATCAATTTTTTGCTCCTAAAAAGTAACCTAAAAAATATCTGCAAGAATGAAAAAGAAACATAGAATTAACAGTCAGTAAGTTGCTCTGTTTTGTATCACATTCCTATGGTTTCTCTGAACATTAGATAAATATGGGAGAAGATGAAAAATCACAATTCTTTATTGATTTTACTAAATTTTGTTTGCCTTCAATTTTTGTGAATATCTGTTGAGAACATGATCTATATATTTCAGTTTTTTTTATTCCTTAGAACTGAATATATTTTGAATTTTGAACCTGCACAATGGGTGAGAAGAAGACATTGTGGAAGAACTAAGTTGTATTGAATTTTGGGTGAGAGAAAAATGCGTCAGATGTCATTTTAGTAACTTCACATATAAATTTATCATTTTCTGGACCAAAATTTGCATTTAACGCGCGTAAGAGACACTTTCCGTTAAGTTTTAACGGATGAGAGTTTTTCTGCAACATTTTACAAACTACAAGTAGGTTTTTTGGAGTTTTAGAACCAAATGGGGTTTTCAGCAATTTTGTGAAACCACATGGGGGATTTTATGTTATTTTGCCTAATAATAATCCACGTGGCGGACATATGTCCTCCGGCGAGCCACATGGGTGCCATGTAGGAATCTCTGGAGGACTAAAATTGTGAAAAAAATTCACTACAAGATTAGTTTGCGACAAACTCTAATTACGGAACTAAAATAATAACGGAATTCAGTTGCGAGACTAAAAAATCAGTTTACCCTTTATATAAATAGATGGAATAAATAGTATGTTTATATTTAAAGAAAATTATACTTCTTGTGCCTCGGTCCAATGTATCCATTTTATTTTATTTTAGTAGATTAAAAAATAATAGTATTTTATTAGTTAATATAATATGTTATATGATTTTGACATTTTGCCCTAAAAGTACTCATGAATAGTTTTATAAAAATTAAAGATATTTTAATATTTAAATATAATTATTTTTACTATAATTAGAATTGATACTTTTGAATTAAATATAAAAAATAGTAAAATAAATACATTGAATTGAGATGAAAAAAAGAAATTTTTACTAAAATGTATAGTGATAAAAGCAAAACACATAAAGGGTCCAAAGACAAATAATAATTTTAAAAAAATAATAAAAGAAATTGAGAAGTTGAGAAATAGTTGGATGATCAATGATGAAAATGTAATCATGGATCATAATTCAATTTGAAATTTCTTTATGAAACTCCACCATCATGAAAACTATATGATGAGAAGATGATTTTCTATCTGTATGATTGCATGACGGGAGTTTCATGCAATATTTTTAAAATATAAGAGATTGTCATGCAATTTTTTAAAATAAAATGAAAATTTATGTTGAGTTTTAAAACCACAGTGGGGTTTGATGCAATATTTTTTAAAGTATAAGAGAACATTATGCAATTTTTAAAGTAAATGAAGAATTTACACTGAGTTTTGAAATCAAATGGAGTTATGGACAATTTTGCCGAATTAAAAATTAAAATATGCATGCAATGCTTACCATCATGCATCCCCTTTTCCACCGGTAGCAAACCCCATAGAGCAAGGTTGCATTATAGTCGAATTTGCAATGTGAAGAGAACTTTCATATGTGAAAAAATACAAAATGACCAGTAAAAAGAGTAAGTAGGTTGGCATTGGATGTTATTGGTATTTATCAGAAGGGAATCATGATGCTTATTCATTCTCATTTCCCAGATATTCAGCTCCGTTTACACAAAACACTTTCACTCATTTGGTACTATGCATTTTTCAAAAAGTATTTCATTAAATAC